GATGAAATCATGTCCGGAAAATGCGTTTTGCACCATTCTTGTTTCTTTTTGGCATTGTCAGCTGATGTGTAGTCTTGTTGAAACGACTAATTTACATTGCCGAAAAGTTTCTTAGCCCACGGAAATAAAACAAATTACGAATGTCCAGTTGGTACACTTTTTGATTTATTTCTACGCCCTCATTCACAAAGACCAGAGGTGTTTTACCCATACCACTCTGGATTTTGGCAATTTTTAACAATTGTTGAACTGCTTGGAACGTCTACAGACCTGTCGTTCTGTAATTTATGAAACTTTGGCTAATTCACAAGTTACTATTCAATCAACCGTGTGGAGTACAATAAATGATCGAGTCTAAGCGTTTCATCAAAAATAAACACTGAAAAAGCCATATGAGCAGTCCCCATCGCTGTCTAATTTAAATATTTAATTATTTTGATGCCAATTTAGTGTCAAAAAGTTAATTAGAAATTAAAAGTAAATCTAATAACGATTGTGCAAATGTTTAATATAATATTTTATGCTCAGTTGTCTTGACATTCAATTATAATTTATTATACACTTGCATTGAAATAAAAAGTTAGCCTTCACATCAATTGTCACTGCTCTTCTATATCTTCAGGAAAATTGTCACTGTTCTTCTAAAGTTCCACACAATGAGTTCGAATTTGTGTATCCCGCTTTTGATGTATGCATAGACATAGTTCCAATTTTATATTTAGAAAGAAAAAAGTACTTATGTATTTCCGCGAATGTATTGTGCATATAAACACTTTGTATGAACGTAGTATAGTAACATATCATGGCATATCATTTCGCTTAAAAGAAACGAACAATGGTATGGAATAAACAGGAAAAAATACACACATTAAACTTTAAGAAGACATAAAAAGGATTAAGAGATGTTCAAAAATTTAAGCGCATGAAAATACATGAATAAACTTATGAAAGCTGCATGCGAATAAATGGAGGCATTTAGTATTATACATAGTACATAGCATCTTGTAAATCTGGTATTGCTTCTTTTTTTTTTTACTTATGTATTTGTATACACTATATCTGGCTAACTAAATAACCTAGATGACAAATGCTGTCATCAAATTGCAAAATGTATTCCTCAGTTTACTCTTTTATGTTTCTCAAAATCTTCACAATGCTCATCATATTCTTTCCAAGCACATTCATTCTACGAAGGAAAATTCATACCGACAATGCCTAGATAAGAAAGATTTCCAAATCAAGTTTACAAAGTAACGGAGTATACAAAGTTACTGAAATTTAAAAATACAACTTTCCTTTAAATATACTGTAGTTATCAATTATTTATTCAACTTAAGAACTGTTATTTTTAAAAAAAAACTAACCCTATCCCTAAAAAATTTTTAAGGAATTGGGGGAAAACTCAATACTGTCATGTTTTCATTTAAAATAGGAGGACCCTATCTTTTTATTTAAAAAAAGAAATTGAACAATTGATGCATCTGTACTACAGAAATAAATCCACATTCCATTCCAAAATATTTTATTTATTTCTTATTGTTACTATTATCCGACTGACCCGAAGCAGAAATAAAAACTTCTTGCAAGATCAGCGACTTATCTCTTTTCCACAATCTAAGAAAACCGGAAATCCGCTTTGAGGACCAGGAGCGATTTTTGTATTAATCCGTCAAAAAAGAAAAAAATAAAGAATAAAAGTGAAGCAAACATGGATAGAAAGAGGATTCACAATTCTGAGCAATTCGATGAAAGCAGGAACAAAATAATAAAAAAAAAGGAATCCTTTTTCCAGTTTTATATTCCCAATGCACCCTCAAGCTTTACCACCATGTGGGCCTCAGGTGGCCAAAAACGGATCAAATGTTGAATGCCATTCGAGCAAGGAGAGATCTTTCCTTTTTTTGACTTCAACTTTTCCCTTATTTTTCCTTCCAAACCCTTATTTTTCCAGAATTGTCGTTTAAGTCATGCATTCATTCTTCAACATTTTTTTTTATTTTCAACTGCGTCTACTTTCCTTAGATCTTCCTAGAAAAAGAATTACCGTATTTCATCTATTCTTTTCTTTCCTCCTTTTTTTTAGTATTGTAAATAGATATTTGCACATTCTTTTATGATATGGTAATGAGGAGGAACATATTAAATGGAGGTACTTTAAAAATGATTTTTTTTAATTATTTAATTATAATTACGTATGGAATCAGTTTCTATAGCACATTTTTTCAGTGTTTCTTGACTTTGTACACTTATTATTTTGGCTCCAAATACCCATCGTATTAATTAGTTTGTTATTTACAACTGACAATTCGTTTTTCCTCATGAAAGCTAATGAAAAAGGTAGCGGAAAATTAGGCTAATTTTGTACATTCTCCCAAATTAATTGACTGTTATGATTAATTGTCTATGATGATTAATTAGAAATTATTATGAAATCTAGAAGTATGTAATTTTAATTTTTTTTTCATACTGACCAGCAATTTTAAATTGCGACATACTTATCGCATTTGTTTCTTAAACATTTACAACTCAAACATTTAACAACTATGAATTTAATACCTCAAACTTTTTCAAAATTGAAATGTTCTTTCAGAGCTCATTTATATTTACCTTAATTTTTTATTTTTTAAATAACCTTAAGTTTTACTTTTTTTTTTTTTTTTTTTTTTTTTTTTTTTTTTTTTTTTTTTTTTTGCTTTAAACAATTAACAAGATAAATAAAGTAAACAGTAGATCAATTACCAAATATTACGTTTACCAAAATAACAATTAAAAATCGGAGAAAAAATAGTCGCAAATTTTCTTTTCTTTCTTTTTTTTTAAAAAGAAAATCTGAAATACTATTTTTTCATTTTTTTTTCTAATTATTATTATAATTATAATGATTGGTTTAAATTATTTTATTTATCTATTTATATTTACTTAACTAGTTAATTAATGCATTCTCATTATTTTATTTTATTATTATTTTGTATTATTTAAAGATTTATTTACTTAATTAATTATTTTGAAACATTTATTTACTTAACTTATTCAATAATTATTTTATTCAATAGTTCAATAGTTATTTTATTCAATAATTCTTTTAAATCTGAGATTTTAAGAACGATGGTAATAAAAGTTGCATAAAGAATAAAAAGATATGAATAATATTTTATGAGCCAAAGAACTTAAAAAATCAAATTAATCAAAAAATATCATTTTTAATAAAACTCCTAACTATAACACCTTATTACTCTTTCTAAGACATTCAATATTTTATGTTTTAAAAAATTTTAACAGAAAATGAAATCAGGGAATTGTGGCGCCATCTGTTAGGCATTTCGTAGAAATAAAGTTAGCAGAAAGTATGTTATAACTTATATTATTCTGAGGGCTTTGCCATTAATGAATGAGTCATTATGTAGTTATTTAAAAATTAACAATCAATATTATGACCTCTCGAAATATTTATGTGTTTGTTAGAAATTTTAAATTTTATTCAACAATCAGTAAAATATTTATCGAATAATTTGCAAAAGAAGAATTACCGACAACAACATCGACTCGTGTATGTAAAAGGACACAATTTCAACTTCAACAAAAATTTTAATCATCACTATTAGATATTGTTCATAAAAATAAAAAAAATACAAGAGCTCCAAAACTTATTCTAAAATATCCGCCATATCGCCACTTAACATTACTTTTTCGAAAGAGTCTTGGATGAGATTTTTTTAAATAAAAATTACCCAAATTAATGGTATTGGATATTGATCACGAGAAAACAATAACCCATAAATCAATTGTTTGCTACCATAATTCCAAAATAGTTTACATTTATATTCGTTGAAGTAAAATGTAATACAACGAAAAGTACTAAAAAAGTATCTTATTAATAAAATTCTAAAATACTTTCTTAATGAGATCAATAACTTAAAATATATGCACAGTAAAGAATTCTGTTTGCTTCACGCGTCAAAAATTCGTTTCTTAAATTAAATGTTCATTTTGAGTCTAATTTCATTTGTAAATAGTATGAAAAATCTGGTATGCTTCTATTAAAATAATATATTAATAGATCTTGATAACTTCATAGATCTTGATTAATAGATAACTGATATATTATATTAGTGAACAAAAATAATTTGGCTTAATTATTATCTTTTAAAATAACATTTGAAATTAAATTTGCATTGTTATAACAAATTCGGAGAGTTCGTGGTGGCTCAGGTGATAGAGTGTTTCCCTTTCAATGAGGTGAACCGGGTTCGAATCGCAGCGATGGCTGGTCGATGCGAATTCCGACCACAGTACTGATGTGAAATATCCTCAGTGGTAGACAGATGATGGGTTAAAGTAATCTTGCCGTCAAGCTAACCGTGGGAGGTTTTCATGGTTTTCCTCTCCATATAACGTAAATGAGGGTTAGTTCCATCGAAAAAGCCTTTACGAAGGCAAAAGTTAGCCTAATACTTGATTCATGAGTTCCCTTGTCTTGTGGATCGGGTTCAGAATTACAAGGCTAAGGAGTTGAACATCGGTAGTCGTAAACCTAAATTTGGGTAGGCTGTTCAACGACGGTTATAAAATAAAACAAAATTTAAGTAGGAAAACTGAATCCCCGTGATTTTCTGACCACTAAAAATGCAACAGACAACAATGGAAAATAGGGACATCATCAGTAGATTTTTATATTTAGTTAGATGCAATTTATTACAGTTAAGTGAATCTTAATGCTAAGATTTTATTTATATTGGACCAATTTAAGATTTATCATAATCACTACAAATAGACTGCTAAGTGTTAAGAAATATGTGGCAAGACTTTATTTAAATTAGACCTATACTTGAATTATCACTATTACTGTAAATAGAATATGAAAATGGATAATGTGATTTAAGAAAATAATGAATGTGAACAATTGATTTTTCGGATTTCAATTTTGTACGAGACCTTGCCGAAAATTGGTTTAAAAAAATGGTAAGCGTATTATAAATTGTTCTAAATTAAATTTTACAGTTTTAGTAATTTAAAATGCGTACTTGTTGATTTCTCTTTTGTATGATTCCCATTTTTGTTTTCACTTCGCGATCAAAGTATTCTTCCATTTGCAGCAAATAAATAAGATATCCTTTGATCTGATTATCTCGCAAATGGTGCTGAGTGCTGTATAATCTTGATACTGTTGGCTCCAGCTCCATAAATTGCCTTTTCAGTTGGATGATCTGCTTGCTATAATATATATTAAATAAAAACGATCATGTCAATTACTTTTCAATCCACAATTTTTTTTAACTCATATAAAACTGTTGCCTCTCATGGTACCAAAATCATAATTTGGTATCATCTGTGCCTTGCAAAATACGTGGAATCTGCTGGTAGACTTACAATTTCAATAGGACATCCATCTTCTATTTCGAAGGGAATTGAAATTACGCTGTGTTTTTCACGGTGGTGCTAGTACACAGTGCGTCGTGGAAGTTTCATTGCATTAACGTATTTTTAAATATAAAATGGTAGCACATTAGTGATTAAAATAAAGTATTTATATTTGTACTTCACCTTTAATTTCAGATCCAAATATTGATTCTTATTTCATTTCAGTGAATGCTTGTGTCCGATGAAAATGTTTTTTTTTTAAATAAAGGTCTTGTAAAACATACGTATAATTGAATCCGTTGTTACAAGTACAATTATTTTGAAACATTACATCTGACGCTGTATACATTCGATTCTTATAAACAAAATACAATTTCTTTTTCAATACAGATTATTTTTACCCTTATCTGTGCTGTAATCGAGATTTCACAAAAAAATGCTGAGTTATGCCTTAAATCATGGAAAAGCAGCAGATTTACGAATTTTTTTATTTTTTTAAGTTTTTCGTATTTACATGGATGTAAATTAACCAAAGTTTTGAAAAGAAATTCAAATTTTCTTTCAAAAAAGTATAAATATAGTTCATAACTTTGTCACCAAATTTCATGACGAAATTCCCATCAGTTCGGAAAGCAAAACATTGAAAAATATAATTTTTCTGATAATTGATAATTTTGATATTTTGATAATTTTGACAAAATCTGTCATTTAAAATGATATTACCGAGGTTAAATTAATTTTGTACACACGAATTTCTCGTTTATCCAGAAATATTGCTGGAATGAAATAAATAAGTTAGCAGTCTTTATCGGTAATTAAAATGAAACTATGGAATTTAGGCGATTTAAAAAAAAAAACTTTACTTTTGAATAGCCTTCTTTGACACTCCATGATGCTTCCTCGCCAACTTTCGAACTTCTCTCATGTGAAGATCTCTTTTTAATTTTGTACAAAAGTTCTTGAGGTCATTTTCAATAATGCTAAAATCTGTTGCCATTTTCACTTCTTTCAAAAACAGACTCCTAGCAAATCTAAAAGTAATAATCGCTATTTATTTATGCAAAGCATACCTTACTTTCACAATCTTCTATTTAAAATCACATAGTAACATGTATAACAAAACTAATGTCATGTCTTCATAGCATGACTATGTTTTGAAGATATGTCTGACACATTAAAAATGCATAATTTTTACATCAGCAATTAATTCACATGCGAACCTCTGTGTAAGTATTATACTATTGATTAATTTTTAAGACAAAATCATTGTAAAAATTAAATCTAATTTCACGCTATTTATACTCCCTGAGCTGCATCTAAATATGCACTGTACTTTTTAATATTAAGCTTATTATAGTTAAAAGATTTTTATTTAAGCTTGTTAATAGTTAGCCGCAATTAACACATTGAATACGGTATTAAAATATTGCATTATAACCAGCATCAATACAACTTGTAATTAAAGTAGAACAGATTTCTTGGACACGAATAGTGAAATGAAATGAATTTATTTCATTTTTAAGAATATAGTTGGATTGCAAAATAATTTATTTATGCCAAAAAATTATATTCATTCTGTTAATTACTGCATTTTTTGAATAATATTAATGTTTTTGAAGTTATACTTCTTATGTGACTTCCAACAAGGTTGCGTTAAACGTTTAACGCTACATATTTATTGGCCGGGAAATCACGTGGTAGGATCCAGTTTTCCCTCATTCATTTCCATATTGTTTCGGTTCTCACTAGCATAAAAATAATAAAAGTCATGAAAGTATTGTTTTTCTTTAAATATTTTTTTAGTTTGATTTGATACACATATAATTTAATAGGATAGTATTTTTTATTTTCAAATTTAGTGGATAACAATTGTAAAAAATGAGTGAAAACAATCCCACTGACAATGCGACGGATTTAAGATTATGTCAAGGTACGTCTCTTGTGAATATTAATTGATTGTTAGGTTTTCTCTGTTGAAATTACATTATGACGCATTCACATACATTATTAATACAAATACATTTTCCAGGGCGAGACGATGAGTCAACCACAAGCACTTCCACTTGTTCAAGAGGTCCACGAAATAAAAATGCACAATATTACCATTATTACAGAGCACGGAAGCGAGCGGAGCAGGCAAAAGAGTCGTTGAATAGAACTAGTGATCCTTCTACGACTGCTGATTCTTCTACATTTAACGTCGCAGGTTGCGAAGTTTAACTTCTTCCGCGCGGAGGGACTCCACGCACTATTTTTTTTCTAATCGTACAAGTTATACCAAAACACAATTTTCATGGCATCAGATTTCATTTACAAATCTCACCTAGCATTGCTATCTTATGACTCTGGATAAATAAGAATTAATTAGAATAAACTAAATATTTTGTGCAAAATGCTATATTTGTGGTGCTAAATTTGTAAGAATGAATGAGTAATTATTAGTTCAACTATGCGTAGATGCTTATTTCATATATATAACAACACCCCAGAACTAAATCATGCCAAAATATTATTTCATGACTTAATGAGTGGTAACAGACCCGTTTATGCCAACGTACTGTTCGTTTAATATATAGCACAAATAGAACTAAGTTATTTTTGCCAAATTACTATTTTTGTGGCATTGTACTTGAAAAGTACTTAAATCGATGTTGATGCTGTTTTAATCTACCTATTGAACTTTAGTACCTAATGAAACATATTACCTATAGCCCCTGTTAGCAAAATTAATAAAGCGTTCATATCGCCAATAATATATTTTACATTTTACATTACCGGCAATATTTTACATTTTTCTTAAGCGAATAAGTACCATTTCTTCATTAATTTTGCTTTTTAATCTATTTAGCCACAACCTGTTTTTATTTCAATAAGTACCTAAGACTAAATTTAATGAAGAATTATTGGTGCCAATAATAATACGTTTAATAGTACGGAGTCAATAAAATTACGACTCTATTAAATGAATTGGTACTATTCCTCCATTAATTTTGCTATTCTGTACATTACTTATTTATTTAATTTTATTTCAATTACCAATGATTTTAAATTATTTAGCTTTATAGGAACACGATATTAAAAGCATATTTATAAATAAAATAAGAGCTTGGTTTCAGATAAATTTAGAAATACTAATTGGGAGGAAATTATTCACCTATTCTACGAGGTTCACGTTGATCATATCCGACACAGAGAATAAAAAATAAATAAATACAAATTAAAGCTAAATCCATCAGAAAATTCTATTTGCTTCTCCCGAGTAGCATAATTGAAGTTATTAAACAGTTTTTAGGAATGGGTGCTAAAATTTCTAATTGCAGCCGCTGTCCAAATTTCAATATAATAGCACAAACGATTCTACAGTTCCAAGAGAGACACATAAACTCTTCATTTTATTATTTTAGATTATAACAGACGAGTGATTTAAAATTATTTCTTTGATCTTTCTTCAAAGCGATAATTTCTGTAACTGCTTTTACTTATTTTAGTTTTTATTTTTATTTTTCATGGACGTAAAGATGAACTCTGTAATAAAAAGTCATATTTAATTTTGTTTGTCTCAGAAAAAAAATCAAATAGCAGGTTTACGTGCTTTTTCAAAAAATCTTTTTCATCGTTTCAAATTTTCATCAACTTATATATTCAATAATTCGTCCACTTGCTAATTCTTCTACTCATTATTGCGTCTTTTCACTGATCACCTTTAATACACAAGTTTGCTGCGTTTTTTTTTTTCGCGCTTCGTTCTTTCTTGTAAATCCAACAATCATCTTAGTTACAAAATATTAATAGAAAAAAAGAAGAATGAAACCACCCCCGTTTAATTGAGCTTGTAAAAGTGAGATTTTCTCTTCAATATACAAGTTTATGAACCTGAAAAAATATCACTCCAGATAATTTTTTACATGATTATTGGCCGTCTTGATGCTGATCAAAAACCGTCTTGATGCTGATTAATGATACTAGAAAATCCTACACAAAAATGTATTTTCTCTAAATATTTTTTTTTGACGAATTTGGATTTTTAACCTTCAAAATATGAACTCAAAAATTTATATTTAGAGCTCAAATTATTAAGTCAGATGACTGAGCTAAGTTAGGTGGTATTGTTCTAACAATTAATGAAAATAAAAAACAAATGACTACAAAATTAAACAAATAATTTATGTTATTTCATTTAAAAACTGATGGCAAACTATGCAAAAAATAATTGCTAGAATATTTGAAAAAAATTAACTGAAGTAGTTTTGATTTGATAAGTATTACTTACAATTAGAATTTTTCCATTTACTATGCTTTTCATAGTAAGTGGGAAAAACCCATTTACAATGTTTTTCATCGAAAATTTAGAATTTCTGTAAATGAAAATTGTTTATTCTCAAAAATTTTGTTACGAAATTTTCACGCAGAAAAACATAAATACTTAATAATCTTATTAAGAAAAAATGTTACAGCAAGATTTACTTGTCCCATCAACAAGAATAAATGTTACAGCAAGATTTACTTGTTCCATCAACAAGAATAAATGTTACAGCAAGATTTACTTGTTCCATCACACAGAAAAATATCTATCTCATCATTTTATATTACGAAACTTCAAGGCTAATGCAGTTGGAAAATAGCAAAAAAAATTGAAAATTTTGATTTTGAAAATATTTAGCGCCATACATAATTACTTTCTTTTCTCGAAATGAACTTTGAATTAAAAAAAAATAGACACATTCAAATCATGAAGAGAATTCGTGAATAGACAATCACTCGTATTTCTAGTTCTTTATGAGTGATTGACCCTGGCAAAAAAATGTGTGCATTTCTACCACTCCTGGAAGATGAATCTTCATAACCATTTCAACCAATCCTTTTTTCTTATTAACAATCATATTAGAGGAGTTGAGTTGTTCGGCTCCTGTTCAATTAAATTAATGTAATTACTGAATCAGAAAACTGTGACAGAAATATTTTTTCAACAATGAATTTGAATATAATAAGTACTTGCAGATGTCGTTTTTTTCACTAGGTGCGAATGAATGTTCGGTCGTTAACTCGAAGACATTATTTTTCAAAAATTAACTATATCGGTTTATCCTTCATAAATTTGATAAGGTACGGTACTTATATTTATGTCACACTAGAGCTGCACAATGGGGTATTGGCGTTATAAATTTGAAATATGAAAACTTATTTAAAATGAATTAACAAAAGAAATTGAGGCATAAACTATAAGAAAATATTTTTTGTATAATTGAAACCAATTATTTCAAATTAAAAACTTAAAAAGTAAATAAATATCTTGTATAATAAAAACAAAAATATTTTCACGTTTTGTATCTCTCTTTTAATTCCATAACCGTTCGCGAAAGGATCTTGAGGTTCGGACCGCAGATACAAGAGTCAGTTTTAGTCCCAAGCATCCTAATAAAATGTTCAAGAATTTAAACTTTACCGTTTGGGAAGAGTGTGGAAGAAGCGAATTGTTTATTTGTCACAGTTTTGTCTGCACGGATAAAAATGTATGGTTAAAACTACCAGAATATGATAAAATTAACAGGGTTTCTGGCTCCATGGTAACGCCAAAAAAACCGATAATTTTTATCGAAGAGCTTTGGTAATCATTTTTTGGTAAAATTTAGAATAAAATACTGTTTTTATATCCATTATGCTTTTTTTTTATAGTAAATGTGGTAAAATCTGGAAATTTTAACCAAAAGTCGATAATTCTAATAGTATTGGTATAGTTTGAGATGGCACTATAAAGTTTTCAGTTTGATAATCTCTATTTTATTTATTAAACATTAGTTAACTTTGTTTCTCGACGGTTAATTGTTTTTATCTCTAGATATATAAACTATAATTTAACATCTGCCAACTCTTAAAACTATAAAAAATTGCACATTTGTAGATGTAGAAATGACTGGACAAAGCTAATCTAAATCAGTAGCTTAACTGTAACGCATCAGGGTTATCCCAACATCCTTAAATGAAAGCGCAGAAGTAGCTGGTTCAAGTCCCACCACAACCCTAGGTACATTTATCTACTTATGGTTGCTTATAAATAAGCAGGCTTGTGTGTTCATT